CCCAGCGATGGGGGACTTGCACCCACTGGGTTCCAGGTGTCCCCAGGGGTCCAAAGTGGCTGGCTGGGCGGGGCCATTAGTAGGCAGAAGACACGTGTTCCCAGACCAGCTGCCTCTGCCTGCGGTGACTCGGTGGCCCCTCCCACAGGTTGGCCTTTGTCTCTGAGTTGGCTGAGCAGACACAGAGGTGTTTCATGTTCCCGTGTGCAGTGAAATGAAATTGTGAATTTGGTCAGGTGGTCTCTTTGGTGGCGGCTGAGCAGCTCACGAATCTTCACTCCCCTCCGCGTGCCTGGCCAGAGCAGAGGGGAGTTGGGCAGCCTTCCAGTGCCCACTGGGGGCTCCAGCTCTGATTCAGCTGAGCTCTTTCAGACTGAATCCCTTCCCTCCTCCCGTGAGTGCTCCTACCTCTCATGAGCCCTCCTCAAGCTTCCTGTGCTCCCCCTTGTCCTGAAACCCAGCAGACCCTGCCGCCCTTTGCAGTGATGGCCGCTGGCTGCTCCTCCTTGTCCTGAAACTCAGCAGACCCCGCTGCCCTTTGCAATCTCATGGGGCCTCCGCCATGGCTTTTGTGACCACCGGTTAACATCCCCCCAACTTGTCTCCATCTCCTATGTCGTCTGTGGGGCCCTCTCTTCTCTCCACGGTGGCTTCTCTCCCTGGGAGTTCTCTTCCTTACAACTGTCCCTACACAGTGGACTCGCCTTCTGCATCTAGCCCCACCTCCAGGGCTTTGGGTATCTGCCTGCCTGTGGGAGCCCCTCTGCGTTCATCCCTGCACACGGCGCCCCTCACTTTCTGGCACGAGGAAGTCAAAGCACTGTCCGCATGCCTTCTGGGCCAGAACTTGGGGCTTGTCCTTGATTCTCCCTGGGTTCAGTGCCAGTCCCTAGCTCCACCCTCCCTCCCTGCCCGGGTCCTGGTTCCTGCCGCCACCTGCTCACTGCCCTGCCAGCCCCTTACGTGCCCCCAGCAGCTTGCTCTCGATCCTGAAGCAGAGGGAGCTCCCCAAACACAAGTCTCATGTCAGGCCTGGCTGACCCCCCTCAGTGCCTCACCATCATTTTAGATGATGGCAAGTAGTACCCTGTGCTGAGGACCCCCTTGAGCCACTTTCTTGGGACTGCTGGACCCTCCCCACCTGGGGTTTGAGCACCCCTCCCCGAGTTCTCTGAAAGCCTCTGCAGCCACCCTCGCCGAAGACGGCTTGTGCTGGCTCCTCCATGGACGTTCATGTCCTGAGGCCAGGACAGGCCTGCTCTGCTGGTGTGGTGGCACTGGGGCACGAAGGGTGTATCTGTAGGATTGGGCCATGCCCTGCATCAGCTGTGCCTCCCTGTGGCCTGTGTGGCCACCTGGGACAAAGCTAGGTGCTCTGGGGCCACCTCCCAGGGATTTAAGGAGAGCCCTGGATGCTCACCTGGCTCTTGTCTGCTGAAGGCATACCCCCCCGAACACCCCTCCCCTTGATTCCAGACAGGTCTTTCTAGATGATGTTTCATTGGAATTTTACAAATTAAGGTTTAATACTTTAAAATTGCACGTGCATGTAGTTTAGAGAGTAAATGAGTTAAATGAGTTGTACAAAGTTAATTAAGAAAAAGTCATCCCCAGTCGCCCTCCATTCCCTTTCCCAAACTCATCTATGTCTGATTCTTCTAGTAGATTCTTTTGATGTTGATCTCTAAATAATAGACCTCTATTGCTAGTTGATTTTTTAAATGTTTACGCATTATCAGCTTGCAAGATGAGGATTCAGGTCTGTCTGCACACACAAGTACCTGCTGTCTCACAGGTACACACAGGCACACACATGCACACACACCCAGGGGCAAGCACACAAGTATGCATGCACACATGTATGCACACACTCCCTGCTTCCCCTCCTCCCGGTGTAGCTGCAGTGCTGTCACACTCTCAAGGAGACCAGGGCTTTCCTAATTAGAACCACATGTGCTGCTGGAATCAGCCCAGTCATAGGAAACCGGGATGATTTTCTTCTCTGCTCAACCTTTGGTTTTCCCTGGAGTTTGTAACTGCCTTTGTTTGCCTGGTGTTTTTTGTACTTCTTGGGAGCCTGAAGCCCTCTTCTAGCTCTCAGCCTCACGTTCCTTCACATCAGCAGTTCGGCTTTTGTCTTCTTGAAGAAGTCTCTCTAGAACGTTCTCCTGGGGCCCTGTCAGAGGGCTGCCCTCCTTGCCTGGGCACAGCTTTTGCCCTGGGTCCCCTTCGGCTTCCTCTGGTTGCAGGCGGTCCAGGCCTTCTTCCCTCCTCACGGTTCCTGGTTCTGGCAGAGCTCACCCTCCAGTACCTCCCCAAGAAAGCATGTGTGGAGGGGTGGTCTGGGGACCCCCGGCGTTGGAAATGGCCTCCTATGGTCCTCACACTAGTTCTCCCCGCACTGGAGCTGTGGGGATCTCCCCAGTCACCGTGGCCTCTGGTGCTGGATGTGGGACTTGGTTGCCTGTGGACAGTCTCCTTGTCTGGGTGTCCCGAGGTCTCCCGGGGCGTGAGGGGCCCCTACCCAGCTTGAGTGAGCTCCGGCTGGGATCAGTGCGAATGCTGTTCCTGACGATTCTCTTCCTCTGGCTCTCCCGTCCTTCCTGAAGCTCCCCTTCCTCCGATGGAGAAGTGCCTGTGCAGGGACTCCCCGTGTCTTCGTGCTCCGGTTTCTGGAGGCCCGCGCTCTGCCTGCCGCTTCTCCGGAGCTCTTCGCTGCTGCTCCCAGTGTTGACTTCTCGGTGCTCCTCTGTGTTCTCTGAAAGTCCCTTCCTTGGCGTCCCGTTCCTGTGCTGGGGCTGTGAACACAGCCTTTGTTATCTGGGCTCGTTCGTTTGAGGGCAGTACAGAGAACACAGGCGTTGGAACCAGACTGCCCGGGTCTGAAGCCTTCTCCACCCGTTACCAGCTGGGGGACCTTGGGCAAGTTACCTCACCTCTCCGTGCCTCAGTTTCCTCAGCTGCAAGGTAAAGGCAATGGTGGCCCCAGCGTGGAGGGTTGTGCGGATGGATCTGTGCGAGCGGTAAAGCGCCTCTGTGGTTGTCGCCATGCGCCGAGTGTTAAGGAAGTGCCGGCTGCCGCGCTGTTCCGTGTTGAAGTTTTCTCTCTGGATAGTGTCTGTTTGCTCCACGCTGTGTTTCCCGCATGTGTCTTGGGCTGTCTTCCACATCTGAGCTTTTCCCGATGAGGCCCCAACCCGTGTGCGGAGCTCTCTGCTCGCTGGGTTGAGACCTGCCTCTCACTCGGGGCTCCTGGAATCCCACCCGCCCTCGGAGCCCACCCTCCCCTGGGGCAGCAGACATCTCCTGCCTCCTGTCTTCCCCGAGACCCAACTTCCCGCCCACCTCCCCATTCCAGGCAGTGTGGAGAGAGGGGACTGGGCAGGTACCTGGGGTGCGAGGCCTGAGACCCGTGGGGAGAGGGGCTGAGCACCGCTCTGCCTGCCGCCTCCCTGCGTGGGGCTGGACGTCTTCATGTGCCCCGGGCGGAGCTCGGTGCAGCCGCAGCTTGCACCAGCAGCAGGTGTGAGTGTGGCAGTCCTGCTGGGCCGGAGGGTGCCACGCCTGTAGGGCGGCACCGCTGTCCCTGAGGGGTTTTGTTTTGGAAAATGCAGTGGTTTTTAATAAAGATGTTCTCTGTGTTCACAGTAGGAGCTTTGTTATTTAAAATGAATTACTACGGTTTCAGAAAGGTGTGTTTGAGTTCCTAATGCGGTGGGTGTTGGTAGGTGCTATCCGCAGCCACCAGAGCTTGTTTGGGTCCCGATTGTTCTGAGCAGGGCAGTGGGGCCCACTGGGGCCATGGTGTCCTGGTGCTGCCCTGCTCTGGGCGGGGCTGGATGGCACAGGCAGGCATCTTGCTCAGAGGGAACGTGGCGGTCGCACGGCCTTCCCCAGCCCTAGGGACTTGGGCCTGTACTCAGCTGGTGTGAGGCTCACTTTGCTCTGAAACCTGCCTTCACGGTTCAGGTGTTTATGTGGGAGGGTGGAGCCCTTGCCCTAAGGTGTTTAGAACTGAGTGTGGCCTGGCTGGCGGGCTCCATAGTGATAGCATTAGGGTCTAGGCCAGTCAGAAGCTGCCCGCACAGGGACCCCTGTATACAGGGAGGACGCTCTGGCAGTGTCTAGGCAGGAGAGCTCCCGTTGTCCTCTGGTCGTTTGCTCTGAGTCCCTGGAGCTGCAGCCCATGGGAGGAGTGGTTTGGGCAGGATGCCCAGCTCCCCAGGCCAGGGATAGCCAGTGCCCCTAGGATGGCACCAATGCCGTGAGTTACGTGTTTAGTGCTTACTGTTCACCAACCGTAATGCGTGTCTGATTACATCTCACAACAGCTCTAAGACACAGGTCCTTTTCTTCCCGTTACTTCACAGATGAGGAAACTGAGGTCCAGAGAGGCCCCGTGGCTCTTGCCCAGCTGCACAGATTACACTCAGCCAGGGCAGAGCCACCCCGGGCCTGACCCAGCCCCGCTACTGTGGAGTGTGGCTCAGGACAACGGAGCTGGAGATGCTGGCGGGCTGTGTGAGCGCCGGGTTCTCAGCCTGGCCTGGGCCTGATTCACATGCAGTGGATGCTGTCCTGCCTGCATGGCGGGGGTCCTGCCTGCTTGGCGGGGGTCCTGCCTGCTTGGTGGGGGCCCTGCTGGGGCCCAGTGCTCCCAGAAGCCAGCTGGGATGCTGGCGGTGGGGGTTGGTCTTTAAGAGCTGGCCAGAGGGCTCACCTTGCTGGGGGTCCCTTTTGGGAGGGCATGGGGCACGCCTTCCTCAGGCTGTGTGTCTGTGTTGCTACAGGGACCTGTGGACCAAGAGGCCACCTTGAAGCGGCTCTGTGGGGGTTGCTGTTTGGGGGCTGGTGAGAAGCCTGGAGTAGCCTAGGGAATGAGTACAGTGGAGCCAGGGTCCCGGTGCTGGGGAGGGTCAGGAGGCCCCTGTGCACCCTGAATTGGAGCTTTAATCCCCATCTCTTCCCCGTCTTCCCCCTGGTTTTTCTGTTTCCTCCAGCTCAGTGTGGAGGCTGCTGGCCCTGCCATCTGTAAGAAGATGTCGTACGGATCCATCGCTGGCGGAGGTGGCCTGGGGAGCCGTGGCCCTTTTGGGGGACCTTCAAGACAAGGCTATCAGCCCCTAGGTAATGCTAGTAGCTGGCAGTGGGGGCAGGGAGGAGGGGATGGCAGTGGGTAGGGTCCCCACTGTGTCGTGCTGATGGCTATACACCAGTTCTGTTCTGTTGAGTAAAGTGGCCTGTGTCCTGAGATGGGGTGTGACTGCTGAGCTCAGGCGATTCAGGCCCCTGGAAAGGAAGCATCAGGAGTGGCTGTCCTGCGTGCGGGCAGACCTGAGTGTCCCAGTTCATGCTGGGCATGGAGCTGGCGCTCAAGAGAACCAAGCTGCTGGTGGGTGGTGCTCAGGGTGTTTGGAGAATGGCTGAGGGGATGCAGGATCTCACCTGGCCTTCCTAATGACGGTGTGGAGCAGGTGGCACTTTGCACTCCGTACAGAGGAGGAAGCTGAGGACCCTGAGGCTCATAAACCTCACCCCAGGGCCGTGCAGCTGGTGCAGGGCAGAGCTGGGGTTTATTTCTAGGTATTGCAGAGCATATTTCAGACAGGGGTGCACTGGGTTAGGATGGCAGCAGGGAGGATGGGTGCGTTGGGATAGGATGACAGCAGGGAGGACAGGGGTGCGCTGGGATAGGATGGCAGCAGGGAGGACAGGTGCGCTGGGACAGGATAGCAGCAGGGAGGACAGGGGCGCGCTGGGATAGGATGACAGCAGGGAGGACGGGTGTGTTGGGATAGGATGACAGCAGGGAGGACGGGTGCGCTGGGATAGGATGACAGGGAGGACGGGTGCGTTGGGATAGGATGACAGCAGGGAGGACGGGTGCGTTGGGATAGGATGACAGCAGGGAGGACGGGTGCACTGGGATAGGATGGCATCAGGGAGGATGGGTGTGTTGGGATAGGATGGCAGCAGGAGGACAGGGGTGCGCTGGGATAGGATGGCAGCAGGGAGGACGGGTGTGTTGGGATAGGATGGCAGCAGGGAGGATGGGTGTGTTGGGATAGGATGGCAGCAGGGAGGACAGGGGTATGCTGGGATAGAATGGCAACAGGGAGGACAGGGTGTGCTGGGATAGGATGGCAGCAGGGAGGATGGGGTGCACGTGGCCATTGGTGACATCACTGAGTGCTCCTCCTCATCTTGCCATCACCACTTAGTGCCTCTCAGGCCAGGTCCTCTAGGATGACCTCATCCTTCCTGCCCACTGGGAGTGCTGGGCTGGTCTGGTCTCCTCCCACTTCTGCCTCCCTTTCCTCCTTCCCGCCCAGACCATTGATCCAGCGTCTGCTGTGTGCCAAGAGTTGGGCAGGAGGCAGAGAGACAAGTGAGTCCTGTGCCCTTGGGGGCCCGTGTTCTGACTGGGATGGTTCTGAGATCCTCTTTCTTGAGTGCTAGGAAGGAAATGACCCAGGGACTGGGACTGCCAGCCCAGAGGGGCGGGCTGCATGAGCTGAGGAGGCGAGGGAGGGCCCTCGGGGAGGGGGTGCTTAGTGGAAAGTAGAGGGGGGCCCTGGAGGAGGCAGCCCCGGGAGACCTGAATGAGGGTGTCCTGGGAGGCCGGTGTGGATGGAGGTTCCTTCCATGGGCCAGGGGAGCCTGTGGGGCCTTAGGCAGGGCACGGTGTCAGCTGCTTGATCTATATTATATTTAAAAATGTGTTCCGAGGGACACTGAGTAGACACAAGACTGCGCGTGTGTGCGCGTGTGCATACGTGTGCATGGGGTGTAGATACAGGTTCAGATCTCATGGTTTGGAGGTGGTGAGCCTGACCCCCAGGCCCCTGCTCCTTTACCCTCCCCACTCCTTCGTCCTTGCACTGAACTGTGTATGTGCTGCATCTTGCTGGTTCTTCACAATTTTGCTTATGTGTGTGCATATCCCTGAGCCGTATGTTGCTGAGCTGTGCAGGTTTTGAACTTCCCTGGGCTCAGACGATTTGTGGGGCTCCGTGTTGTGCTACTTTTACACATCGTGTTCTGAGAGCCTCCACGTTTCGCGTGGCCGTGGCCCCTTCGATTTCGTGCTGCATCATGTTGGGTTCTGTGAGCACACCGCGGCATCTGTGTAGTTCCGCGTCTCAGGGATGCTGAGGCTGGCTCCCGTGTCCTCCCTCACAGCCTGTGCCCATGGCCAGGGCCTCTGCTGGCACACGGTGGGGTGGCATTCCTGGGCCGGGCCACCTGCAGCTGAGCTGACGCGGGCCCCACCCAGAGCCCTGTTTGCTCCATGTCCTTGTCAGTACTCCGGGGTGTTGGACGGCGACGTTTTGCCAACCTGGTGGGTGTGACTTGTCCTCTCTGGTTGGAATGGATGTTTCTCTGATAATGAATGGAATGGATCCCCTTTTTGTGTTTATTGGGCATGTGGGTCTTCCTGCCAGGGAGCACTGTTTGTCTACTTTTCTCTTGGGTTTGCCTTGTGCTTATGGGTTTGCAGGCTTCCCTCCTGTGCTCTGGAGATGAAAGCCTCATCAGGTGGGTTTACACAGCCCGACCCAGGCCGGGCCGGCTTCTCACTGGGAGGCCTGCTGGGAAGCAGAAGCTCTCAGCCAGGGCAGCCTGGAGTTGATCCATCATTCCCTTCGGGACTTGCACTTTTCTGTTTAGTAACTTCCATCACAAGATGATATTGCTGCCATCTTTTACTTCCCTCTGAAGATTGAACAATTTGTTTTTCATATTTAAGACTTTACTTGACCTTTGATTTTTGTTTATGGTTTGAGGTGGGATGAGTGTGGAGGGGAAACTGTGATGTCGTTTTTTCTCTGTTTGAAGAACAAATTGTGTGGACTGTTGAATTGCCTTTCTTCTGCAGACCTGCTGACAGCTCTGTGATAAAGTTTTCATTTGGGTTCTCTGGTCAAGTTTGCTTTTCATGTGCCAAAATCCACCTTAATTTCTGTAGCTTTACTGTAATTCTCAATACTTGTTAGAAAAAACTGCCCTTCTCATTTTTCTACAGAAGTGTCTCGGGTATGTTTGGCGGTTCGATGTTGACCATAAGGTTTAGGATCACCTGTTGCACCCTGGAGCTTTGACTGGGTTTGCCTGGCATCCCTGCGTCCGCGTGGGGAGACGTGACTTCTTTATCATTCTGAGCCGTCCAGTCGGTGAACATACACATGTCTTTATATTTATGGGGTTTTCTTTAATGTTTTTCAGTGAAGTCGTATAACTTTCTCTACAAAGATCTTACGTATCTTTTCTTAAATTCATTTCAACAAAGTAAAAACTTTTTTTTCCTGCTGATGTAAGTGGTACCATTCCGAATATTACATTTTCCAAATGCTTCTTGCTGGTGTGTGCATGCAGTTGTCTTTTTCTAAGAAACAGAGTTCAGACATTTTATTTAATTTTTGAATATTTTATGTTTTAATTTTCTAAATGTGGAAATTTTCAAACACATCAAAGTAGGCACAGACACGTCGCAGCCCCTGGTGTACCTCAGCTTCCCCTCGGTGCTCGCGGCCGGTGTGGCCGTACATGTGCCCCCAAGCTGCTCCCCTGCCGTGTCATTCTGGAGTAAATCCCAGATAGCAGATCATCTCATCTGGTAATATTTCAGTGTGTCCCCAAAGAGAAGGACTCCTTTTATGTGTGACCAGATTTCCACTGTGACAGCTCGTTTGGCCGCCGTACCCAACCTGCAGTTGAAGTGCCGACGGCCTCTGGGAGTGTCTGTTTCAGAGATGCTGTTTAACCTGGAGCCTCCCGAGATCCCGTGCTACAGCTGACCCGTGCTCCTCCTTCGAGTGTGTCTTTGACTCGGCTTCCCTCTGTCTCTTTATTTCCCTCCAGGTTTATTTGTGGAAGAAACCAGACTTTTCCTGTGTGGTGTAATTGACTTTTGTGTACTGGTTTGTGTGCAGCCATGTTGCTAAACCCTTTTTATTGTAATGATTTGTCTGTGGAATCTTTTGAGCCTTCCCTGTAGATGGTGGTGTTTGTGCATAATGACAGCGTTTTCGCTCCTTTTCCAGTGCTTTCGCCTATTATGTGTTTCTTTTCCTGGCTGGAACCTCTACTGCAGTGTTGAATGGAGACGGTGGTTCTATTCTTGGTGAGTTTGTGGAAGAACAGGATTATGTATTCCTTGAACGTTTCTGGGATTCTGCTGTTAAACTATGCGGATCTAGTGTTTTCCTTTGTGGAAAGATTTTCTGACTGCCAGTTAATTCCTCTAGTTGTGAAACGTTATTCAAGCTCTCTATTTCTTCTTGGGTCAGTTTTGCTAAGTTGCATTTTTCTGGAAATTCTACTGTTTTATCTAAATGTTCAACTTACTGAAATTAACTTGTACACAATAGCCTTTTGCTGTCAGTTGTGACACTGGGGCACCCTCATGTAATGGTTAAGATGCAGATGCAGAAGCTGGCCTGCCCTGGTCCCAGCCCTGCCCGCCCTGCCTGCCCTGGTCCCAGCCCTGCCCGCCCTGCCTGCCCTGGTCCCAGCTCTGCCAGTCACAGCGTGCCAGCCCTGCCTGCTTGGTTCACGCCCTGTCTGCCCTGCCCTGTCTACCTACCCTGCCTGCCTTGGTCTCAGCCCTGCCCACCCTGCTGCTCATGAGCTTTGTGAGCTCAGGGTGGGGAAGGGGAGGCGAGAAGAGGCCTCCGGCCCGGTGGTCATGTGGATGGATGCATCGACACCCGTGAAGCTCGGGCAGGGCTGCTGAGGGCTGGTGGTGGCTGCTGCTTCTTTCACAGCCTCAGAGCCTCAACCACGTCCCCTTTCTCGTTCCTGATATTCTGTATTTGTACCTTCTCTGTTTTCTCTTACAGTCAGTATCAACAGAGACCCGGCAGTTTGTGCAGGTCTCTGCAGCGACGTGGCTCCTGGCTTCCGCCTTCTGTGCGTGCGAGTTTAAATCGTGATTGATTTCTGCTCGTACTTTCATCGTTTCCCTCCTGTCTTTAAGTTGATGCTGTTTTATTTTTCTTACTCCCAGATTGAATATTTACCACATTCATCATGAATATGGTAAATATTCATTTCTAACAAAAGCATTTGAAATTAGAAATTTCCCAAGAAACTACTTTAGTTGAATGTCACACATTTTGAAATGTATAGTATTTTAAATTTTTGTTCAGTTCTAAATAACTTTCCATTATGATTTCTTTGTTTTGGAATTGCTTAGAAGTTTACTTCATCATTTTCAAATGTGCTTTTTTCCAGTTGTCTTTTTAAAGTGATTTCAAACCCGCTTACACATCTGAAAGAAAAGCACTAGTGTCGTCCGGATTTGTTGAAAATTGTCGTGGCCGGGGCTGCTTCTGGGGTGCGGGGGCAAGCCTGGCTCAGTGCCTCCTTTGCTCCCCTCAGCTCTTGGCTTTCTGTGTGGGTGGGGCCTTCGAGGATCCTCAGAACTGGGCAAGGCCTTCCAGGCAGGCCGGTGGGGCCTGGACAAAGTCCCCATGGGTGTAGGGTCAGCTGCATGTGCCCAGTCCCTGCTGTGTGCCGCAGTCCTGCCACCCTAACTGGGCAGCACCTTAGGGCCCTCGCGTCATCGTCACGTCATCTGGACAGAGGCAGCGAAAAGCCAGCTAGTGAGTTGTCAACCCATAAATAACTCAGATACACAGAAGAAAGCTCCCCAGAGCGCCATGCAAACCGGCCAGGTCTGTGGGCAGCTAGGAAGTGTAGCTGTCTCCTCAGCGCACCCGCGGTGGTCAGCCTCACAGTAACCTGGCAGGAAAAGAGAATGTCAACACGCCCTTGGCAGCCTGGGGTGGGAACACGGGCCACGGGGAGGGTGGGTGTGGGGTGCTGGGAGCAGCCAGCTTGTGGCAACCTAGAGCGGGAGCAGAGGCTGCTGGGAGGGTGGGCGTGGGGTGCTGGGAGCAGCCCCCTTGGGGCAGCCTGGAGCGGGAGCAGGGGAGGGTGGGTGTGGGGTGCCGGGAGCAGCCAGCTTTGGGGCAGCCTGGGGCGGAAGCAGGGGCCACAGGGTTGTGGGGGAGGGTGGGTGTGCAGTGCCAGGAACAGCCAGCTTCAGGACACCCAGGAATGTTCCTTCTCTTAGCCCAGCCACACGTCCTCCTGGACTCTGTCTCAGGAGATAGACACACAGGCAGAGGTGTTCAGCACGTGTGATTTGTGTGAGTGCTGACTCAGAAATGCTGTAAGTACCTGGCTTTAGGGAAACGATTGTGTTACAGCTGGGATAGAATTCGATGTGGGCATTAACATCACACTGTCGAAGGCCCTCGAGTGACCTGTGCGTGTGCTCTGATTTGTGGAGAATGTGGTGCGTGGAAGAAGCAAAGCCACACACGCAGTGTTTGCTTGTGGAAGACAGCCGCCCACCTTCAGGGTTCATCGTGTTTATCTCTGGATGCTGTGATCTTTATTTTTTTATTTATAACTGTCTGCATTTACATTTTTTCTGTAATTTGTGGGTATTATTCTATTCAAAAGCATACAGTAAAATCCCAGGCCTGTCCCTGCCATGTCTGGATTCATGTGGCTCGGGTGGGCGGATCATACTGGCGTCTTGAGGGGCGTGGGGAGCAGTGTGGAGTAACGTGGGTGCAGTGGGTAGGACCTGGACTTGGGGTAAGGGGATTCAGTGTGGGGAGGTGATGGCGTGTTCTTGAGTGACAGCAGGGCCTGTGGTCTCTCTGGGGGCCTGTGGGACCCCTTTCTGAGCAGAGGCTGAGCTCAATTACCAAGTGCCTGGATCCCCTCACAGGCCATTGTCTGGGGTTTCCGGCCTGGAGAGTGTGTCTCTGTGCAGAGAGAGGATAGTGCGGATGCCAGGAGAGGGGCCTGCCGGGAGCTGGAGGGACCAGCCCTGCTCTCTTTGGCGGTGGGGGGGCGGGCATGCTGGAGGCTCACCTCATCAAACACTGAGAGGCATCTGTGACTTGGGGCCCTTCCAGACCTTGGCCAGTGCCTCTCGTGGGTGCCTGGTTTTCCTAGGGCAGCGTCTGTCTCCAGGCTGGCTGCTCCTCCCTGGCCCCCGAGAGGGTTGTCAGCTTCTGACTCTGATCCACTTTGCTGCACTTCTCTGCCCTGTGGAAACCTCCGCCCTGAAATGAGCCAGGCAGCTGCCCTCCTGTCCTTCCGCAGGCTTCTCCCTCTTCCCCCCACCGGGCCCAGAGCTGGAGGGTGAGTGAGCCCCAGTCCAGAGCAGTGAGCTGGGCACTGGAGGCCGTTCCCTGAGTCTGTGTGGCCATAGGTCTGTCTCTGCCTGTGTAGTTTGGGCAGCGCTGTCTGGGGGCAGGAGAATGGACCAGGTGGCCTTTGGGACCTCTCCTACCTCTGGCGGGTCTGGTGAGAGGCTTTGGGGAAGTCCTTCCCTCCCCTCACGTTGGGCCACAGGGGGCCCCTAGAGGGACCCCGAGTGGGAGTGCACCAGGGCGGCCCCTAGTGTCACGTCTCTGAGGGTTGCATGAAGGGTCTTTTCCAAGAGCTGCTGCTTCAGGCACTTGGCTCAGGGATGCAGCCCTGGGATCCATTGTGCCGACCTGGCCCTGGAGGCCATGGACGTGGCTGGAAAGCGCTTCCGAGCCAGCAGCATCCTTGTTACCTACTGGGACACGTCCCGGGAAGAACAGATTGCAGACAGGCATGCGGGGTCCGGCGTCGGAGGCCTCACTCAGCCTGGCGCACATGCGTGTCTTTGGGGTGCTGTGGATCGAAAGGCACATCGTGGTTCCAGAGATGTTAAAATGCTTTTATAAGGTGCATCTGAGGATCAATGAATTTCAGTGAAATGTGTCCTGAAATGTTTTGTGAACAATGGAAAGAATTAGAGAAAATGATGATGCGTTCTGTGTAGGGCCCAAACACGTGCGGGGGCTGGGAGCTGGGAGAGGTGGAGCACGTGTCTCTGCCTCCGCAAAGCCGAGTGGGGACAGCAGTGTGGCTTTGCTTTTCATCTCCCATACGCTAAGGAATGACACTTTTATAAAATGCAGTAGAATGATTCTGAGTGCAGAGGTCGCAGCAGTTTCGAATTGCCTTAAACGATGCTGGAGCCGCACTTCCCATTTTGTACTTTGTTGCTGACTGGTAATAGCTGTCCAGGGCTTAATCTGTGGCTACCCCTGCAGGCCCTGGGGGTTGTATGCTAGTCTGCAGTCACATTTCAGAACTGGTTCAGAGAAAAATCCGGAACACCTAAAGTTCTGAACTCCTTGCTGGCATTCAGCAGAAGGGAGATGATCCAGAGGATATAGCAGGCAGGGAGGGCTTCCTGGAGGAGGAGCCCTGAGTGGAGCATCTCGGGTCCTGGGCGTCTGCTGTCCGTGCGTGGGCGCCTGGCACTGCCAGGAGCGCCCTGAGCTGACGGTAATCGTGACTGTCCCTTGCTGTCCGTAGAGTGCGCTAGATGTTGGACCGAGTATGGAATCCGCCATTTCCCCTGCCCGTCGCCAGAGAGCAAGCTGCAGAACCCCTGTGTGGGGAAGGACGGGGAAGGTGATCTGGGGCCGGCGGGCACGCCTATTGTCCCAAGGGCCAGGAAGCGAGGTACTTCACTCAGACGCTGGGTCTGGGGGGTCCTGGGAAGGCGGCTTGGAGATGCAGGTGCGGAGGAGGGTGGGGTCAGCAGGCAGGAGCTGCAGGGAGGAGGCTGGGGCCAGGAGGTGAGGGGCTTGTGTTCCCTGCCCCCCACCAGGCCTTCCGCTGAGTAGGGCCAAGGGTGCAGCCAGCCCAGACAGGCCACAGGGTGGAAGTTGCATGGTGGCCAGAGCTGGCCAGCCCTGTAGGGTCAGGACTGAGCAGGGCTGCTCCCGCCGGGGGCTTTGGACCTGCTCATGTGATTCCTCACCCCCAAGCCCGACCGTTCTTGTGCAGTGGGCTGGCGAGGGGCGCTTGGTGTGGTTTGGGGAAGAACAGGTGCGGTGACCTCTGCGGGTGTCCTGGTGGGCTTCCCGCCTGGTGGAGAGGCCCCCACCAGGTGCTTCTGGGATGCCAGGACCCTGGGGAGAGGCCTGCACTTGAGTGCTCCTCCCTGAGGGCTCAGACGTGCCGCACCAGGGAACCTGCGGTGTCGGGCCCTGTCCCTGCCTTCAGGAAGCTGGTCGGGTTAGTAAAGACGCTCGTGTGTGAGCAAAGACGCAGAGACTTCCCACTGTTGCCAGCGCAGCCCTGTTTCCTTGCAGGGTGGAGGCAAAGGATGGCAGGGGGGTGAGGCTGCCAACCAGGCCACCACGTCCCCACCAGCCTCAGCCCAAGTGCGGGAGGGGAAGCTGAGGCCGGTGCTCAGGGGCTCTTAGTTGTGCTGTGGGCAGGTTGGCAGGAGCCTTCCAAAATGTCAGCTGGAAGGCTGTCCCCAAGCGAGGGCTGACCCCAGGAGCAGCCCAGCCCTGGCCTGAGGGCAGGAGACCCTGGAGAGGGTCCAGGGCTACAACCTAGCCTGCCCGACTCCTGCACCCCTGTGGTGGCTGCAGGGGCAGGCAGGGCTAGTGGTGTGCCGTCTTGGAGATGGGGCACTGTGACCCCGAAGCTACGTGCTTGCTGACGGCACCTGGTGAGGCAGTGTCAGGGCTAGGGGATCGTGGGCCCAGGTCTCTGGACACCCAGCAGGGAGGGGTGGTGGCCAGGACCAGGCAGCCATGTCCCGAAGCAGAAACCAAAGAGTAGGTGCCCTAGGGAGCTGCTGCTGGAGCCGCTGCCTCCACAGGCCCAGGGCCTTAAACGTCCACCTTTTGGTGCCTTTCCAGGGCCTGGGGTTGCCCCTGAAGGCAGCCGGATGCCGGAGCCCACCTCATCGCCCACCTCGTCACCCACCACTGGCCCGAGGAAGGACTTGGCCGCTGGGCCCCATGGCCGCATGGCGGGGCCCACCTCATCGCCCACCACATCACCCACCACTGGCCCAAGGAAGGACTTGGC